TCATCAGCATTTTTATAGTGATTTTATTTGTTGATAATTTGGGTCCAACCTTGTCTCATTTTTTGATGCTGTGTGCTTCTGAGGAAGTTAAGTATATCAGATTCTTCTCTTTCCAGTGAACTTTTGGTCTGCTTGTTTGTATCCCAGTAAGTTAATGCAGGAGGTGCCTTGAAGACTGGAAGCTGAAGAGAATAATGCATTCCTTTTTATTTGTTGACAGTCTCATATCTTTAGATACAAACCTGCTGCCATTTGAATGCACAGTACCTCCTGTGTTACATAGACACAGCTCTAAAGAAGAACTTTGGGACTTGGTTAAAATTAAAAAAAAAAAAATAAAAAAAAGAAAAAAAGATAGACTTGAAGCCCTCTATGACCCTTACTGGAAGTGTAACCTACCTGGAGTAGTTATCCTTGGCAGTAGATAAACAGTTTCACTAAGAATGTGTTAAAAACAAAAGAAACTGGTAGAGATCACAGTTCTTTCATGCTGTTTGCAGTCTCATGTCACGAAGCCCTCTCACAAGGGCAAGGTTTTCAGCTTTCTGTTCTTAGCTATCAGTGCTGGTTGCTTTACTGGTAGTCAGACAATGTCTTATCGAATGGAGCGAAGTACAAGATGAAGATTAACTTCAGTGTTAAATCTGAGCCTAGTATGCTTTGTAAAAAGCTGTGTAGACCCCCTGTCACAGCTCTTACAGTTCTGTAAGCTATCGTGCCGTGGAGGTCACTTACCCTACCAAGTACATCCCTGTAAAATTCTATATGAACTACTGTGTATAAGCAGTACTTGTAATCAATGCAAGTAGCACAGGCCTAGGAGGCTGCAATTTCAGATTTTTACAATCTTCTTTAATTTGAAGTAAATTATTTCTCTGAATTTATACTATGGTTATCAGGATTTCTGTTCAGTGGCATAAACCAGTATCTTTCACTAGCCTGTTTTTTAATGTACACATGAACATGTATATAGGTCTGTATGTATAGATATCATAAATTAAATTCTAAGCTTATAGAGATGACATAGGTGGCTTGGTAAGTAAAACTTGTGTATTCAGTCTTGGTAGTATGAATTTCTGCTGTGTTACAGTTTAACTGCTCAGAGGCCTTAGATTCAGGATGGCATCGGTGAGTGGTAATATCCTTTTTCTTAGCATTACTGCAGCCTTAGGAATCCTTTAAGGAGTTTATAGTAAAGAAAATACCCATCACCCAAAACCCAAGTAAGCATTCGAGATGTGGCTGCACTTTTGTCCTGCTCTGCCACAAGTAATCTTCAAGCAGTTTGGAATGGGGGCACCTTCAGTGTGTGCCCATTATGTAGTGAGTCTGATAACGTTCCTGTTTATTTCCCATTTCTGTGAAACAAGTGTGTCTGTCTGTAGTTTGAGGTCTTATGTGTGATCAAGTGGTGACAGCTCTTCAGTGTGGTTCTGAGATAAGATAACCCTTGTGTCAGAAACTCTGGCTGCTTTCCTGGGATGGCTGCTCTGGGCTGCAGACCTCATTGCTGTGTGTGTGAATGTGAGCTTCCCCCACGCCCCCCCTGGAGCACGTCAAAAATCAAACTCCAGTTCACACAAGGATTTCTCAGTTGTTTTTGCAGGCTGTCTTTTCTGACTTGAACTGGGGCATAATGTAAATACTGCTGTAGTAAATATGATGCTAGAGAGTTACTTTTCTTTTTGTGTGATTAGTATGAATTCAAGGCTTGTTAAACTGACTATTGATGTGTTGTGTTGAGTCTTGGAAGACTTAAAGTAAAATCGCTTGATTTCACTAAGATTTACAAGCATCTTTTCTGTTGTTTGAGTTTAATGCTGACATTTTAGTGAGAAATCTTTATTCAAGTCAAAGTTCTGCAACCAAGAACAGGGAGCTGTAATTAAAAGTTGTTTTAAAATGTGTTTACATTTAAAATACTGAGAGATTTATTATAAGAGATGTCATTCAGGTATTCTTGGAACTTGTAGCCTTATGTACTAGCATTATAGGTAAAAATAACTGAAAGGTATCCACTTGTCCATGCAAGTGATTGTGTGACCAAAATTGTCCTCATGTCTTAATGGGGCTGGTGAATCGTGGTGTGTGAGGCTGGTCAGTAAAAATACTTCTATTAAGACTTTAAGACAGCTGCTTAAATACACTCTGTGAAAGTGAAGAAATTAATTTAAGGAATATTTCTAGGGAGCGTGAATCAGCATAGGCCTTGCCCTTCATGCTGTTCTGGGTAGTTAGACTGACACGATGTTTTGGAGATGTTTGTCCTGGCATCAGTGACTCAAGAGCATAGGAAAAGGTGGGATTCTGATGTGTTTGTGGTTTCTGAACGCAAGTCGGGCAGTTACTTAAACTAAGCAGAGACAGTTCCTGCTGGTA